CCTTGAATTGTTATGAAACCACTTAACTTATGTTAATTCTAATATATTTTTCTCCCAATATAGGATGAATTCGAGAATACCTTGATACAAGAGTAATGAGCATAATTATCAGCATAATTGGAGTAAAACTGGAAGAAGGAAGAAGATTTTCAGCAAGAAAGTCGCTCGAGCGGGATGAACTCTCACTTGAGCGAATATCAGTTATTCTTCTCTGGAAGTCAGTTGCTCAAGCACAAGAAAATTCACTTGAGCGAATGTTAGTTATTCTTCTCTGGAGTTCACTCACTTAAGCGAGCGTTTTGTCGCTTGAGCGAAAATAAGAAACTTTCGCTTGAGCGAAAGTTGTCGCTTGAGCGAAAGACGCGGGACCCAATTTTTCTTATAAAAAGATAAGATATGTCTTGAGAAAAATAAGTGGTTTTTGGGAGAAGAGACACGACTACTGTTAGGATTTCGTCCAATCTTCATCAATCCTTCACTTCTTCCTCATTTGGAGCATTGTAATGGCCAACATAAGTGGCTAAATTCATTCTCTTAGGATTTGGTGCACTTCCTTTAAACTCTTTTGTATCATGGTGATATTTTGAGATATTAATCTATGTTTTGATGTTGTTATTCTTATCCTTTGTGCTTTGAAATGATTTATTCTTGATGTTTGGGATATGATTGGAAAATATATCTTGAACCTTAGATCACGGTAAGAATATTTGTTATGTTAATTATCAGGAATTGAATGAATGTATCAATTGCTTAACACCCTAAACCTAATGCTGGAAAATATCTTAATTGTGTGAGGAATCAACATTTATTAGGTTTTCTTATGAATTTCATGTGTGAGGAATCAACATGGATGATTTGAGTAGGTGACATCAACATTGTTAAGTTAATGAACGTTCTTAATTGACATAACCATTACAAAAGAGGGATAAGGAAGGAAATCAATCCTAATTACCTTTAATTGATATTTTCTCAACAATTTACAGTTCTTTGTCATTTAATTTTAATTCAACTCTTTATACAAAACTCATTCTGTTTTAATCTACTTAGTAAACATAAAATTGAGAATTTTCATTAAAACAGTTCCTCGTGAGATTGACTTTTATTTAATCGAAATACTATACTGCGATTGGTAATTTTGGTACGTTTGCCAATAATTCAATATCAACCCCTAGATTTAGCTATTCATCCTCTCGGCCTTCAATTGAGTAGGCGTTCATTAAGAATAACTCTCCCTCATTGAACAAAGATGTTACAAGATTCTTCTGATCTATTTGAATTTCTCAGTCACTTCTCAGGGTGATTACACTTACATTCTTATTAAGATTGATAATTGTTTGTGAGGGAAGTGCATTCAAACTTTATTACTATAATATGTTAATGGTAGTGACCAATTGCCCAATTTGGGTTTGCATATCATTGAAGGTGATCGTCATAAGTTATTCTAGTTGTGTGCTCCATGTATTTGTTGCTTCATTAGATCTTCTAGTGTAGGTCTAGAGTTACCCTGTTGCATAATATCACTTGGGCTTTGCTGTATTGACACAAAGTGTAAATTCACGTATTGTCTCAGTGAGGGAGGTTGATATTCCTGTTGTTGGTAGATGCCTTGATTGCTTAGGTGGAAATAAATCTTTGGTGGCTAGTTAAAGAGATGACCATATTTCAAGTTTGGATGATCTCTCTAGTCAGAATTATATGTGGCTAAGTATGGGTTATTCTCCTGTTGTGGATTGTTGAATTTAACTGCTCGTAATGTTGTTGTTCAAGAAATATACTGTCCATTATTTCCCTTATTAAGCTTGATGTCTCCTGAAGTTAAGGGCATACATTAGTGGGATGATCTAAAAAGGTGCATATCGCACATAAATATGGTTGTTGTTGAAATGTATGCTGGTTCATGGTTAATTATTGTACCAAAGTTATCAGTTCCTCCAATGTTCTTTCAAAGTTCATGACCTCAAGATAACTTGTTTACTGGAACGGGAACGGTAAATCGTGAACAAGTACATCAGGTAGGTTCCTAGAAAAGAAATGTGAGTCACTAATGAGCACACTTAAGTATCAAATTTTTCCTAACCAGAACCCTCATAGACATGCACTCTCATACTACTAAGTTATATCCAGAGTTTCCTATGAGAATAATTTTCAAAAAATTTCTTGCAAAGATGTTTAGCTAGAATTTCCTGCGAGAAGAGTTAGGATTAGACAATGTTAAGCAACACAATTATGTTCTCGACAATGACGTCATTTGACTGACATCATTTTAGTCACACAAAATACTAATAATAAATAATAAATATGTTTTTAAACTAATGCGAGTATAACTAATCCATGTCAAATACCACAAAAACACAATTATAGGAACGCATCTATTATCACACATCATTTTCTCTAAAAATAGTAAATAATATTAAATTTGGGAGTCGATAAAAGAGTAAAAGAAATTAAAATAAAATAAATTGATGCATAATAAAAAATTAAAATCAAATTGTAGTAGAATATTAACTACAATTAAAATTCAATTGAAACATAATTTAAATATATAATTAAAATTTATAACGTAAAAATAAAGTATTTTTAATTAAAAGTAAAATAAAAATTACTTTAAAATAAAATTACTTTAATTTTAATTTTCAATTAATCTCTATTTCGATTCTAATTACAATTCTCAATTTAGTTTTAGAGTTATTAGAAATTTTAAATTTAATTACTACACTCTTTTATTTTAAAACATTTTTTGATTTTGCACTTTTTTTTTAACAATTTTTAAATTTCATTAAAAACACTTTGTTTGAATTTTATAAATTTTAGTTATTTAAATTTTACTTTAATTTAATTTTAATTATCATTATTATTCTATTACAATTTGATTTTAATTTTTACTATTCTGCTTTATTTTTATTTTTTTTTAATCTTTCATTAATCTCTATTTAGTGTTATTTATTGTTTTTAAAGAAAATGGTGTATGATTCCTATAATTATGTTCTTGTGAGATTCTATAGATATTAATTATACTAATTTAATAATTTTTATTATTTTTATTAATATTTTGTGCTACAAAAATGGTTTCGTTAACATCATTTCCTTTAAGCGGCAAAACTGTAATGGATTTTCATGGCATTATTTGTTTTACTTGGAAATAGTTGGATCAAACACACATACTGTAACATTAGGGTTTAAAAACGCATGCATATATATACACACACAAAGAAAATATTATATATAGATTTTGTGAACTGCATAAATTATTCAGTCAGCATTGTATATATAGGAGAAAGAAAGTATATATCCAAGTAATTAATATATCATCTTTTGATGTTTTCGAAGGGCCTTTGAATTGAACATTGCTTTTCTACATACAGATGAATTTGTGTCTCAAACATTACGCGTGACTGATAAATTTTGACACTGGTTTAGAATTTAAACGCTATAAAACACTCATTTAAATTATCCTTATTAGCTAGAATAACATAAAAGATTTCTGAAGTATTTCTTGATTAGTTTGTGTTTGTAATTTTTACCTCCAAATGTTCTGGTATCAAGACAATGAAACCCACGTGAAACTGATATCCTTTTGATTTACTAGTTCATCAATTTAATCCTTGTCCTATCTATTTCTTTTAGGGTTCCTTTTATCCGAAAATACATATTCTGGTCTACAGTGCCTTCTATATAGCGAAAAGGAATTGTTGTAAAAAAATATAGAGAAAGGAACTATTAAAAAGAATTTACACAACCATTCTTTTTCAATTTACTTTTTACATAAGCAAACTCTTCAATGAAATCTCATAGCAACATGATTTTTTGTACCCTCGCGAAAATTTTAGATAAAGACTGCTATGGAGTTATGAGTATATTATATATTTCCTTTACATTTACCCAATGGTGCTCAAACAAATTTCTTAAAGTTACTTGCAATTTAAGTGTAATTTCTTTCTGGCCAAAAAGGTTTTTATTTTTTTCAATGAATATTTCTTCCATATTATCAACCTCAAAAGCATTCATTCATACGGAAGCACAAGAAATTCCACCCCAAATTAAGTGTCCAGAAGTTAAAGGAAAACTGAGATTGATGATAATAGGAGGGTGTGTGTAGAATGAATTGTCATGCGTATATGTACAATGAGTTTCTTCATTAATTTTAGGCCCTTATTATTACATATAATGTTCAAAATCGGCAAATTGGAATTCTAGATCTTGAGGTAATTCAATCTACCCTAATAAATTTAAACCCAGTCAATGACAGTCGTAGCATGTGCATGTTGTGCAGTATGCGTTCAATTATGTTTGACTATAAAGCAAATGTGGGAGTATCTTGTCTACGAATCAAAATCAATCTTCTGATTAGTATGAATGGATCATGATTTGAATGCATAATGAAAACATGAAAAAAGACATATCTTGCAAACTTCAATCCTCTTAACCAATGAACAAGAACCTATATTGGCTTATAAAATTTGAATACCATAGAGTGAAAAGAAAGACATGGAAGGCAACATAGGATTATAAAATGAATATAGCACTGTTAATTGTATCTTATAATAAGAATCCGAAAACACACATACGAAATACGATCAAAAGGAGAAAAACCTAGGTTATTGCTGCTTCCATTATATATACAGATATTCAACTGTCAAATGCTCGTACATACGCGAAGGTTAAGCATTTAGCTGCCTTTTTCTTTTAAGTACTCCTACTTCTTACATATATATAATAGTAAAGTACAACAATAAAAATTATATACCTCATTGTTAATTAGTTCTGATTCTGATACTTGTTCATACACCTTTCTAGGCATTCAACCTGATAATATGTGGAGAATTTGTGATCAGCTTTCAAATTCTTCCATTTGTTATACATGTCTTAATTACGAGAAAAGAAGCTTGCCCTAAATTTTTATCTGAGAATTTAATTTGATTTGTGCTTCAAGCAATCTTCTCAATCAATAACATAAAGACCTAAAGAAATGTGAATATTACCTTAAAAGTATAAATAGCGTCTCAGTATGGATCATGGCCAAGTCTGAGCTCCAAGTCCACTTCACTATCTTTCTTGTTTCCTCTCCTGACTTGACGAATATTATCATCCACATGATGACTTGGACCAATTTGGAGACTCAAGTTGGCACCGCGAAGCTCTTGGTTCAAATTTAAAGACCGAGACCTTTGGTCATAAAACTCATAATAAAAGGCATGTGCAGGTGCTGGTGGATGAAAGTGCATTTCACAGTTCTTCTGAGACTCCAAAATGGAGTAAGGCCTTGTGGGTTGGTTTAAAGTCTCCGAGACAAAAGGAAAGACCATGGATTCATCACTGTTGAATTTGTTAATTGAAGGTGAAGCGTCAAGTGTGAATTGCTTGGCCTTGGCCCTGTCTTTCCTATGGATGTTCATATGACCCCCTAAAGCCTGAGCATTTGTAAAGCCTCTTCTGCAGAATGTGCACTCATAAGAGCGTTTGGTTCCACCAGTGTCATCTTGTGCTTCTTCTTGATCGTTTTCATCACTTAAATTATCGGGACTGACTGGCTTCTCTGAATTCATTGCAGGGTTATAATCAATCAACACACTTCTCTCTCTAAGAAAGAAATAAATTTGTGAATCTCTTATGTTAAAAGGGATTTGCAAGATGTGAGGGCTTTATATTGAGAAAAGGATATGTAAGAAAGGTGTGAAATATAGAGACAAGAAGAAAACGTTGGGTAGAACTGTGTAGCACAGTAGCGGTTTTTTATCAAGAGAGAGTGTGATTTTGGCGTTTTCTCATGGGATTTTCCATTTAGCCGGCTCTATGATGGGTCTAAACCTTGAGAATATTTTTATCACTTCCACCTCTCTCTCTTCCATTTCATTTGGTTACAATTTCTTCTTATGTTGCTTTCATGACGTGGTGGTGGTTTTCTTTTGGCATGGCTTGTAATTTCCTTTGCCGCGTCAATGTGACTGATTCTCGCATACTCACAGCAATTGTAATGTTAACCACAATATTATGAAGAAACGTATCATTTTTTAGTGTTTCCCACTTTATTCCGGTTCATAGCTGTCATTTAACTTGCTAAATTTGATTCAAGATGGCAAACAGAATGCGCAAGAGAATGCGATATACTTTTTCCTTGTTTAACAAATGCACGATGATTCACATCACCCGAAGTAAAAAAATAAGAAGATTTTACTGTTCTGCATGATCCCATGCACATGCTTTACGGCGTAATTCTGCTAAATATAAATATTCGTCTCTTGCATGTGAAAGCAAAATTTAACAAATGAAGGAGACTCCGAGGATATGATGCACAATGTGACATGTAAGCAGAAAACGCGTTGAAGTATCCCTTATAAATGTCTTTATCATACTCCTAAAAGAAAATAATATTCTTGATATGCTGCATTTATGTTAGCGCTAGTAATTTTCTTGCATTTAACTGGCTTCCTAGCCCTTCTTCAAAAGGAAGAGACATGTGAACTATTAGCATCATCCATCTAGCGTAGTAGGGTGTACCCTAATTTGATCCCAAGCCAACCTATATTTGCATGCCATGATACATACTCAATTTATTATATGACTGAGTTTCATTCATTCAAACTGAATTAATATCTCCAACTAAACCCATATCACTGTACCCTATTTCAAATGAATGACCAAAAGGAGAGGAATGGAGCCAGTTCAAAAGGAATAATACTGAGGATAACCTATTGGTTATTTTAAAGAGAAAAAAAATCTCTACACGACCAAATGTCTCCTTGTGGAACAGCTCTTTAGCTGGTGCCTGATGAACTACATAGTGATCAATGTTGGCAATTTCTTATAATATTTTTGGTAGAAAGAGTATACGTCTTTGAAACGACCACTGATTAATAAGCTTCCTTGTAGAAAAAGCTAACTGAATCCCAAGTAATCAATTCATTCCAAGTTTTGGTGACGTTATCCTAGATATGATAAAGACTAAGTATTCAATCCTTACGAGAATAATAATCAGAATTGGGCATGGGATGAACCGGGGTTTGTCACTGACAATTACATGAGTGCCGAACTACAGCTTGCGTTGCCTTTACAGCATGTACTTAAGGTTGTCATGCACTTAATTTTCATCAATTCTTTTTACGCCTGCATTTCCCAAGAAATGGTCAGTTCTTGTCCAATCTTGTTACAGGAACAACCAATACAAAAATTAATTCGTGTTTTACTTATCACAATTTAGTTTTCAGTATCTTCCTGTTATATTCTCTTACATTATGATTCCTAATAGTAATAAAATGTGAAAAGTTAAACAAAGCTCAAATTTGTTGATATAGTTTTTTAATATCAATTTTACTCTTATACATAAAAATATCTTTTTTTTGTTAATTATATTCTATAAGTTTTTAGTTCATTTTGAAATCTTGTGGCTTAAAGATCATTTTTTGTTTGTTTTCATTATATATTATGTATTTTAGTACTAATCTTAAATTATTTCTAAATAAATAACAAAACATACACTTAATTGTACCAAAAAAGTTGAATCAGGTAAACTGAAAAAGTATACTAAGACATTCCTTTGTAAGTAAGGTAAAAAGTAAATTTAAAAATATTTTAAGAGATTGAAAAAGAAATCAAATACAAGAACTTGGAAACTGAAAGCTAAAAGGACATCTTGAAGTAGTGAATCAGAAAACATTACAAGTTATTAAAATAAGTTTATTTACAGAACACTATTAGCATAGTTAAACAATTTTTCAACAAAAAAAAAAGTTAAAAATTGGTTAAAAAAATGTTTGGGAACCATGCATTTCTTTAGAAACATCAAATAGATTCAAATTTTTAATAAGCAAGAAACATTGTAGGGAAATATTATAAAAAAATAATAATTAAAGTTAGGATCCCATATACCTAAGTTTCTATAAGAAAAAATAAAGGTGAGTATAATAGAGTAACTTATATCATGAAGTCGAATGCATTGTTATCATGAAGTCTAAAAGCGATGTTAGATTAATGTTCCATTAAATAAATTTAAGTTTTATTGTGTTTGTTATAATCCTATAAATTCAGAATTGGGTTAGAGTTGAAAGTGTTGCATCATTCCAAATTATAGTGTTGATTGAAGTAAATTTAGAGGCGGGGCTCTAAAGATTGATACATTTATGAACAATAGATGGTATCTAGACCTGATAATTATCCTGTGTTAGGAAATCCAACCTATCTCAAAATATAATAAAAACAATCAACGTCAAAATACCAGGTAAGCATTTATCTGAAGCCATTACTCATCCTTATTCACGTGCTTTTTAGTTAACCATCCCATGTTCATATGATGTCTTAATTGTGCAAGAGAGTCACACCATTGTCTTATGACCTCATAATTCAATCCATATAGAGTGATTGAATCAACGTCTACCAAGTTTGATGAAGCTCTATCTTGATGCATATATAATTAGTGTCATTTGTGGAAATTCAACAAATCAAATTCTCACGCAACATATTCAACACTTAACGTTAGACAATTTGTGTCGAACCCACCTCAAATGGTCCACCGCTTACTCTTATTACGTTTGGCTTGTAAAACTATTATTGAGACACAAAGTTGCAACAACTCATCCTTAAGCTCATACGTCGAGTTGAGGCAACATCCAAAGCTAATCCAGTCATTTGTGGGTGATCTAGAACAAGATATGAAGTAGATACACAATTTCTTGTTTCAAAATTAAATACAACGTGTACTTTATGCTCTCATCTGACATCTATTGAGGTCAAGCAAGTGTCACACCACCACTATCAAGATTAAATGATTAAATTCATTAGGTCAAATTATTATATATTTTAATATGATTAGAAATATTTAGATTTTGTTAATATCAAAAGCTTACCTTTGATTTTAAAATACTTTATAGCTACTTATTAGTTACACTAATACCTTTTCCATTTGTTAGTATTGTTTTATGCAGGTTTTACTAACTGCATATTTGACTTTTTTCCTTTTTATATTTAACCTTTTTTTCTTCCTCAAACATATTGGATTTTCCTTTTGTATTCGATCAGTATATGAATTAGATTAGTTTTTTCTTCTCTGCTATTTTCTCCCAAATTCTCAATGGGATCCATGTTTTTACGTTATGGTATCAGAGCGGGTTAACACCCGCTCTGCCTCCGCTGCATCCTTTCTGTTTCTCTTTTCTATCTTTCTCTGTTTCTTGATGGCTTTTGTCAATTCTTCAACTGCTAATAGCAATATAGAAACGCAAACTGTGATTGACGAATCTTTGAATCCTTCAAGCCCGTATTATTTGCACCCAGGTGAGAATCCTGGAATGATTCTTGTTTCAAAGCAATTGAATGGTACGAATTACCATTCTTGGAGTAGGAGTATGCGCATAGCTCTTCTTTCAAAAAACAAATTAAAATTCATCACTCGGAGCCATCAAGATTCCCCAAGAAGACGATCCTCTTCATGACTCATGGGAGAGATGCAATGTCATGGTACTCTCTTGGATAACTCGAACTTTAAGTGATCAAATTGCTCAAAGTACTCGTATATATTGATAATGCAAGAGATCTTTGGGAAGATCTCAAGGAACGATTCTCAAAAGGAGACCATTTTAGGACTTCGATCTGCTACGAGAATTGCACTCCATTAAGCAAGGAGAAAGAAGCGTTTCGAATTCCATACAGATTTCAAAATTCTTTAGGAAGAGTTGGAATCCTTGCGTCCCATTCCTAGTTGTACTCGCAATCTGCAATGTTCTTGTGAAGCCTTCAAAATCATTGCTCGTTATCGTGAATCCGAACATGTAATATGTTTTCTCGAAGGGATTAAATGACGTCTTCACCACTACAAAATCTCAAATTCTTTTAATGGAGCCTCTCCCGAGAATCAATCATGTTTTTTCGTTAATTCCGCAACAAGAACGACAATTGGCGGGAGTGAGTCACGTTGATGCCAAAACTCTTTTGACAACTGCTAATCAAGGACCTATTGTGAATTTTAACAATCAAGGAAATTGGAAAACTCAAGGACGTGGATCTTGGAAGAACCAAGGACGTGGACGTGGGAGGAATTCCAACTATGGTAAACAATGTACTTTTTGCAATAAATTGCACCATATTGTTGATGAATGTTATGCCAAACACGGATTCCCTCCATGGTTTAAAAATAACAGAAATGATTATGTTGTCAACACTGTTATGACTGACAACGTTTTGAAAGAAGAAGAATAAAAAAATCAAGTGCACATTGTTCAGAATAGTCAGCTGACAGGTGAACAAGTTCAACAACTATTAAAACTTCTGCAAGAAAAGAATCAAGACACTACTCATAGGGTCAATTAGTTTAAAAATAATAATGGTGATCAACAAGACTCCAAAGGTATTCTCTGTTCATCTTGGATTATAGACACTCGGGGCTACTGATCATGTAGCTTACAATAAAAATCATTTTTTAACTTTTACTAAAATCGACACTGTGCATGTGAAATTACCTAATGGTAATCATGTCACTGCTTGAATATGTCTGTACACGGTTTGTATTTCAAATAGTCTTACACTCTATAATGTTCTTCATATTCCCAATTTTGAA